CGTACCGCGCGTGATATTTCCTTCTTTCCAATTTTTCTTTACACAGTCAGAAACATATTTTGATTATTTTGATAATTTGACACATCATCTTTCGATGACGTAACTCTTCTTCTGAGTTTCCTCCATGGACACTTCTCTGAATAGCGGTACAGCATCTATTATCCTTTGTACGTGCGTGTCTTGTTAGTGGAGCCAGCAATTGCTGTGGCCGTCAGCGGAGCGCTGAAGGTCGCCATAGTAGTACAAAGCGGCGCACACAGATGGCTCTACAGGCCGTAGGAGGACACGCTTGGTATGACTCCTAGTGGCGAGTCGTGCACTCAAAAGTCGGTAGATCACGAATGAATGACAATGTGGAGATGTATGGAGTATGAAGATGCGTATGTATCATTAATATCAATTAAACATTTTATCGTTCAGATCAATTCATATTATCATGAAATTTTATATTAGAAATACACACATATTTCATAGAGTGATGGTTTTTGAAACACTTCTATACTCAAAGCATTATCACTACTTACATTTATAAATATAGAACATGTATTCTGCTTTTTATGAATGAAATCTGTACGATTTTTCTTCTTCGTCGTAAACTTCATACCGGTATCTTGTTTTAAAAGGAGACATGAAGTGTTGTCTAGGCTATCCGGGACGACCCGCGTCAATGCCATGGTTGCTAACATTTCGGCCAGCGTATTGTGGTCTGCTGAAGGCAGTACGCTCTGAAGAAGGCCACAATACGCTGGCCAAAACGTTAGCAAGCATGGCATTGACGCGGCTCGTCCCGGATAGCCTAGACAACATAAACTCCGGCCGCGGAAGCCTACGCAACCATAGGAGACATGTAGGTATGGAAAATGCAACATTAATCCAAACTCGGCGTGAACGTAGTTATTTATATCTATATACTATTTTACACTAATTTCGTATTGACGTCACCGCAGTGTCTCTGGCCAGGAGATCTTACGGTTCGAATCCCAATCTTGGCAGGAGTTTTGACGCACTTGCATGTCAGCTGGGATGAACTCAGCCGCTAGAGTTCAATGGGTAGAATTCTCCTCCAAACTGAATTCGATCTAGCTATCTAGCCAGAGTCGAATACTGGAGCAGCGAATGCTGGAAACACCAAACGAATTGTATCCTAACAACAGAACCGCGCGCGATAATTCCTTCCTCTTCCTTGTCCTGACCTCTTCCTTTATTTACACACACTTAACACTAACTGCCATGTATTTCAATATGATACACATTTTATCTTTCACTACGGGCTATATGTATAAAATTGATACACATTAGTATAAGTTCAAGGCCGCAGTCTATTATCATTATTTTCTCCTTTCAGGCTAGACATCTTTTTGTGCGTAGATGTTTCTAAAAATTAGTTTTTGGGGAGTATACACCGAAATTAAGAATTTATTTATTGAATTTTGGGATTTACAATGCCTGTGTCATTATGACACACACGGCCTCTGTTAATTGATACATCAGGGTCGCAAGCATTTTGAAACATCTAATTAAATAGATCAATCAATATCCGGATTTTATACAGATTAATTGTGGTTGGTTCTTACTGTTAGAAAAGTGAATGTTGCTAAGTAGTAATTCAAAACGATTCCGTGATATTTTTTTGCTCATTTTGCTCTCATGCAAGAGTCTTTGGGACCAACAATTCTGAAGTGTCGTGTTTTTCTCCACACCCATCCATTAAAGAATACAAACAAATCAAACAAATGGAGGCTATTGCAATTTGCGCAATCAACGACGTCATAAAAGGGGAGGGGAGAGGAGCGAAACCAGAGACTCCGACTGCAGCAGCAGAGCGCCTTTGCTCCTCACCAGGTAAGATTTTGTCAGTGCCTGGCAGGGCCGTGTGTGCTCAACGTCTTGTTACAATAGGGACCTTTAACCCGCCGGTTGAGAATAGTGGGTCTAAGCGACCCTGTCAACGGTTAAAATTTTAATTGTTATTGTAAACTAGAGGCGAGACAACAAATACTTTCTTGTATTAATTATAACTTTCAATTTTCAAAAATTCAGGGGAATGAACGAAAATTGGACCTGTGACATTTTTATGCTTAAACAATCCAAGAAAAATCTTATGAAAAAATGAAGACGTTTTGAAAAATCTTGCTTTTAGAATTACTTTTATTGCACGTAAAATTACGTAAAAAACTACTCCTAATTTTATAATTAATATCGTACAGGATCTTATTAAAAGATATATTTTTGAAAAATTGATTTCATTACAAAAACATCTCAATCTACAGGGGGGAGTAATAGTCAAGTTATCGTAAAACAAATACGTCTTTTGTAATCTTTAAGAAACGCAATATACAATATGCACTTGTGGTGTGGAAAACCAGTGTTAAAAATAACACTTGCAATTAAATATAGGATCATCTTTGGTGAGGAAGCCACTTAGACCCAGGCAAGCAACAAGGGTTTTTCTCTTACAGCATTTCTTTTCTTGATTTTATGTACGTGGAGGATCTGTTTTTACTATGTATGTACCTCTTTCCTCTTTTTGGATATTAGCATCGGTTGGCACTATTGCATCAGTGAGCTTTGAATCTTCAACGACTCATCATAGTGTGAAATGGCGGGCCGTGTGTTAAAAGAAATAAACATAATCGGATGGTAATATATGCTGCATCCATTGCAACGTTCAGCTAAACCACTAAACATTATTCAGAATTGAATCATACAATATTTTATATTACTCGGACGCCAATGCAGATTTATTCATCGGAAAAATGACGTTCGTGAATAAAGATCTATTTAAATACTTTGTTATACAAATAATATAATGATTACTCTAATTAAATACTTATTTAGCTTTTTGAAACCGTTGCAGAAATTCATATTACGATATTTGTCGTTGTTGTGAAAGTTTAACTTTTGGATGTAAAGGACAACGCAATTCAACACCACCCGAACCCTTTCCACTACCGAGCACGCAAATGGGATAGGTAGGAAATCCTCTTTGCAGTGCCAATCACAGTGGCGTGTGCTCTTCGTTGCAAAGGATCTGGGGGAGCTGACGCCAGCTCCCGAGGTACCATCAGCGCAGGATTATGTGACGCTTCAGGAGAGAATTGACATTACTGAGGAGGCATCCAATCACTGTCTGCTGATCTGAGAAACTCTGTTCACTGTTATTTGCACCGATTTGATCAAATGTGTAAATAGTGAGAGGTTAAGTATTTGTTCCCATTTCGAACACAAATAGTAATATCATGTTCCCTAGACGTCTGAAAAGAATTCCCTTGCCCATGCCTTGCAAAATTCCTTTTTCATTATAAAATGTCTTCTATAAAAAGATTTCTTTATGTCGGTCCTATGCATGCTTTTCTTTGTATATTCTCCATTGATCATAACTAACTTTGCAAAGTGTTGAAGCTGCAAAATATTGCTTAGATTATTGGGAGAGCAATTGCATAAAGTGCGAAGAGAGAAGTTTTGTGCATCGCCTTTTGTACGACACATATTTGATCAGATGAACCTTTGGCGTTTGAACCATTATGTATTAAAGAGATTGTCACGATTACGTTTGTCTGGACGAAAATAAAAGTTCTCTTTACGAATTTCACATGTGGTGCAGGCTGCTTTATTGCCGCGTTTCGAATCGCTCGTTCACGGAGACCACATGAATGCTTGCTACCAAACGTACCAACCAACTTTCAATGCGCTCAATACGCATATTGCTTAGATTTTCTGCACGATTGCTAGGAAACTGCTCGCGGCTCTAGATTCTCAAACAATACGATCTCGGAGCGTCTTATGTGGGAAAATTTGATTTCCGGAAATCTCTGACAATGTGTGGGACGAACTATCGGGCACTTTTGGAAGCAGTAGAAGGACAACTTCGTTGAAGCAGTTGAAGGTCCGTCGCAAAGAACTTCCATGCCAAACGAATTTTCCGCTATTTGAGAGATAATTTGTGTTTTTTGTGAGCAAAAGTAAAAAAAAAAAAACCGAACACGGGAAGTTTGAAATGTAAGATCTTTTCTTCTTAAATGCCTTCAAAGAGTAGCGAAACTGAAATGCTTGAAACATGGTTACAAATTTGAATTAATTTGGCCGCCTATGTGCCAACACAAATGAAGAAACAAATATTGTAAACTTAACCAAGGGTTTTTATCACGTAAACAGAAAACATTTTATAATTTACTGATAGTGCACTATACATGTTTTTAACACGTAGTTCGTGAAGTAACTCAGACATTACATTGCTCTGATGCGGAGACCGCTTCAGTTTTAGGGGTTCTACATTTTCTCGTGGAACATATGTTATTCCAATAATTACAGATATTCGTTCGAGTGTCCGCCCAGTTATTACGGGGTTTGAAAGATAATTTGTAGTTTACATAGAAATGAGTACTAGAGTGTGCTTTACAGGCTGTGGTTAGATGATTTGAGACACACATAGAAATTTTCGTGGGTATTCGTTTCATTACTGTTACGGGTATGTCCGAAATACTGATATCTTGAATATCGTTTCAGTCCCTTGTGTTATCGTCTCGTTTCAAATTTTACAAGCTAGTTGCACAAAAATTTTTATCTTAGGACATTATTGATTTTTCTGTATTTAAAAACTAGTGGAATTGGTTTTCTGTCCTTGCCTTAAAGCCGAGTGACGCGCACTACTGGTGGATACTTCTCGATAAATTTGGATTTAATTTCGTCTTCAAATATGAAGACATGCAAGTTCTTGATCATTAATGACGTTTCTTTGGATAAAGGATCCGAGTACGAGTTAAATTGAGTTTTAGTTGCTTGTAATGTAGCTGTTAAAGTTCTAAACTATCTTATGATTTCTAAATTCATTTTTATTTTGATGGCATTTAATTTGGTTAAAAGGTTTGTAGTTTCCTTAATATTACAAACAATTTCTGTGAATGTGATAGACGTAGATGGTAAGGTATGCACTCTTTCTGTGCCAATGAGAGCGTCGGACACTTCAAGGTAACATCATCAAATCTACAGCTAGTACTTACAGTTGATATATCGGGCTGTTTGTTGGTTCTTTCGATTGAGGTGCCGATCTCTTCCTCAATGTCTTCCTTTCGCTTGTGGTTTCTGTGGTCGTAGTGCAGTTGAGCGTTGTTTTGAGTTGTGCGTCCTCCATTGTGACTGTGTTGAGGCTGCGGCTTACCTGAATGGCCTCGACGAAAACTTCTTTCCTAGAACTGTCAGTATTTTCCAATATTGTAATGGAAGAATCAATTGTTATTTACCACTTCACTTGGATTGACGACACCAAAAACATTTATTACTAGTTTCACACAGACACGTATACTAGACGAACAGTTCACTGGTAGAAGGCCGTGCCGGGAGTGTGGTAGCCGGACTGGCGCGGAGCGATATCTACTGCGTATGCGGAAAGAACTATACTACACCGTGGTCGAGAAGAGAGTGTGAAAAGCCATGACCAAAAGTAAAGGTAAAAGAAATAGAAGTTATAAAGTGAAGAAAACCTAGACAAATGGCATCGATAATGACGAAAAGGAAAGACGAAGGCGAAAGAAACACACGAAAGATGGAATGTACATATAGCAAATTAAACACTAAATTAAGTCCAGTATGTTACGCATTAAGAATTCTTTCAAATTCTGTCAGCCTCCATGCAGCCGGTTGCGTGTATTTAGAAAATGTACATTCCCGCTTGAGGTGTGGCAGAATATTCTGGGGAAGCTCATCATATAGTACCCAGACCTTTAGATTGCAAAAGAAAATCATTCGAATAATGAAAAGGCCATTCGCGTTACCCTTGCAAGCCTCTCTGCATTGAGCTTGGAATCATACAACTACCTTGCTTATTTATTTACGAATCTGTAATATTTATCAAAAGTGACTCACTCAACGGTGGGAACATATTTTCATACAATACTGATATTTATGCTTACAACACACGTCGTAGAAATCACGTTCATCAATGGTCAGTATCAACAGCTCGCTACCGGACAGCCACATACAATACATGTGCGTTAATGTACAACGCATTGCCAGATGCCATTCAACGAATAGAAATTAATGGCGCGGGTCTCATTTTCTTTAAATTATTTGAATTTTCGAAAACTGAAATTTAGAAATAATGCTAGAACCTCTGTGCTGTTGGATCACTAGTCTACAACAGTTGTCGTTTCAAACTTCCGACTGTTCTGATTCAATTTGTTAGCTTTCACCGTTGTCACGTTCAGATTAATTTAATGTTAAAAATAAATAAGGTTAGTTACTCAGAAAAATCCTCTGATTCTGATATGCAATTGCTTTTGCAATTGCAGAATATTGCATTCAACAGTTGATCAAGTGTCAATGATGTCGGTACTATTTTCAAGACATTAGTCTTGAGGGTTCACCCCATATTTTGATATTGAAAATTATTTCCCAACCAAGTTTGTGCCTGATAGTAAACCCGACTTAAATCATGCTGATCTGCGGCGTAAATGAGTGAAGCAGTAATTTCATCGGTTTGGTGATGCTTGTTTGCTTTAAAAAGCTTCAGTATCGCTGACGGACCTGGGATCTTAACATCGTTTGATTGCTTCTATGGAACCTTCCCTAATAGAATTGAGGTGCGCAGGATAGTAGCGACAGATTCCAACCAACCTCGCATTTTCTATTTGATTATGAATGTAAACTGCCATGTACCTAACATGTTTCTGATATATCAAATGAATAGGGATATGGAAAATCCGTCAAATTCCACGTCCAAACATTTGTCTGGAGTGAAAGTGAACGAACGCAGAGAAAATAATTTTTCTCAAAACGAACTTCGGTAGGGATCGGCAGTTATTATTATGAAGGCCTAAATTTATACGACTATCAGAATGTACTTTCACAGTTTCTCAGTTGTTTCAAACACATCTGCCATTTCAGGTAGAAACTCTATTATTACATTCTGTAAACCGCATATGACAGACTCTGTTACATCGCCCGATACTTAATTTTACTTAATTTAACCTAATTGATACATACTTTTTTTCATTATTTTGATATATATTTTTGGTAAACTCGTATTTATTCCCATTCTTCTATAGTTTGAAAAATAGTCTTTATTTATAAATTGTTAATCATCAATGAAATTTGTTTGTATATAAACACTTATTTTGCCCAATGTTATATTAATAATAATATTTATTTATTTGAGATTTGTAAATTATATTGCACTTTTACATGTAAATTGGAAACGAATATCCTTTGCACGAGTTCATCGTTACCCTTTCTGGACGCCACATCGTCGAGGGTTTTGTCCAATGCAAAACAATGAATTGTTAATTTTTGAAGTAAATTTTATTTCCAACAAGTTCGATAAGAATTCCATTGGACGTACAATGCATAGAAATCGAGTTCCTTACGAAAAATATTTTTTTTATTTTTGTAACGATTTCGTAATGATTAAATGTCTCAAAAACCTTTAGTCGTAGAAAAAACCTGTACAAAATTTTTTTTTTCTACACAATCTTGTAATACGATTATTCAACACAAAATACATAGGAGTCTGGATACATAAAAAGCAAAAGTTTCGTGAACTTTGACCTCGAATGCTTTGAAACACATACGTGTTATCGCATCTAACTTTTCACTTTTATAAAACATCAAGACCAAACTGTTTGCGAAAAATTAAACAAATGGGAATTTTCCCATATATATACTTTTCCTTCTAATATTACAGGGCTACACGTTTTTCTTCTCATTCTCTAGCATTTCCTTCCCGTGCTCCACCGCTTTCGCACATTCCTCCTCCTTTTCCTTATTTCTTCTCTTCATTATTCTTCTCCTCCTCGACATTCTTCTCCTGCTTGCCCTTCACCGCTGCCATCACCACTTCCTTCACATTTCCCTCACTGCATCAAATGACGTCTTCCAGGGCCTCTGACTGGGAGGATCTAGGTTCGCGTCTCGACGCTGGCAGGATTTTTAACACTTGCTACACAACGTGGTCTAGTTCAACTGCTGTCAGGAGGAAACTTCTAGCACCCGACTGCATTGATTGGCAGTTTTCCGTTCTTTCTCCGATCAACACCAGGTGAAAGACGGAGCAGTAACCTCACAAACGATCCACGGACCACGTGGCATCTTTCTTCCTCTTCCTTGTCTTATTCTCACCCCTTACAGCTACTTACACTACACTACCATACACTTCAGAAGACCAGTCGGGTGTTTAGAGGCTGTCCTGGCTGGGGCGGTGCCCTATTAGTGGGAGATACCTGGTTGCGGAAATCCCCGCTAGCCGACGGTAGGTCGGACCTTGCCAACGGGGGGAAGATTACCGCTATCTCCCGAGGCCGAAACTAATGACCATAGCAGGCGACGCGGCCGGAATCACTAACAAACAATCTAACCTTCCTCTCTGCCTCTTCCGTCTCCTCCTCCTTCTCTTCTTCCTCTTCGACTGCCTGCTCCACCGCAGCCGACGCGTAACGACTCAGCCGACGCGATGTAATTACAGCGCAGGTGCGCGCGCGGGCAAGTGGCAGGTGCACGCAGGTGACATCCGCAGGGCGGCCGCGCGAGGGGTGCGGCGCGGCGCGCTGTAATTGCGCACGAAGCCCTCGCGGCCTGCAAGACTGCGCGGCCGCCGGCGACTCGCCTCACCGCGACCCACCGCACGTCACCGCCAGGCGCCGTTAGACCGCACGACGTTGAATCAAATTGAATTGAATTAATGCCTTATTTTACGTGGCGAGACTCAGGCCATGAGGCTTGCTCTTCCGTCTGACCACCCAAATTTCACTACGCTCCTTTCACCAACCAGCAGAGAAAGGAGGTATTTCTTGGGCGAGGTACAGGCGATTTGAATTTAGCTCAGAGGCGTCACTTAGGCTTGAGGATCTGTTACATGCAAGTAAATCTACTAACATGGGACAGCCGGCTTTACTTCCCCTTCGAAGGAAGGCGTACGAACGATTTTTTTGCAAAATCGATCGGGTTTGAACCCGCCAACTTGGGTACAACAGTCCGATACGCTAACCGATACACCATCGCCGCGCGCCCACGTTATTGGCGCCAACACCTGCACAGTGCAGTTTATTAATTCCAGGATCGCCGATGACTACATACTGTACCTACGAATAGAAAAGGCTCGAGATAAGCAGGTTTAGCAAAAGGATCTCGAAATGAATTATGAAATGGGCAGAAGATAATGAAATGAAAATTAATCCGAATAATTGCGAAGCGGTAACCTTCAGTAGGATACGCGAGAAAATGTCACTAAAATACACACTTGCTGATCAGCCGGTGCCTGAGGTCAGCAATTCAAGTATTTGGGGGGTTCGAAACAATATGAACAGTTTTGACGGTCCGACCACATCAATCACGCGTTCAATGTTTGGAAATCACTCCATTTTGTAATACGGATATTAAAGAAGGGAAACGCGAACACAAATCGCCTTGTGTTTTCTTACCTTATACGTCTGGTAATGGAATACAATCCCGCTCCGCGTGTTGAGATCAGGAGACCTCTTTTACCAACCGACAATAACTGGAAGAATATACCTGCTGACTATTCCCTTAGTGTGCATTGCTTCCAGAGTCGTCTAGGAAATTGAATGTTATGTCTATATTTATGCGCTGTACGTTTTCTCAGTTAGTAGTTAGTAGTTAGTAGTTGTATATTCCCTGTCTTCTGTACGTGTGTCAACTGGCTTTGTGTGTGCTTATATACTCTATAAAAACTCTGCCACCGAGCGAAAGCTCACTAGCTATATATATATATATATATATATATATATATATATATATATATATGTATTTATATTATATATTATTGGCGTATAGGCCATTACTGATCACGCTACACGAACGTGGGTACTTTTTCCAGGATCAGTTTTCAGCTGTACACCTCAGTTTAAAATGGTTGTTACGCCTTCAAGTGTGAATTGTAAGGTAGATAGACAGATATGATAGATTTATTATTTCTGCATGTATATGTATACAACCTGGTAGAACACTACAATTAACACATTACAATTAGGAATATTAATATAATTTAATTTTAAATCATTTTAACACAATAATAATAGTAATAATAATATGATAACAATAAATACAATAATAACAATTATAGCATTAAATCTACGTTTTATGACTATCCTGCACAGATATTTTAACTAATAAGTAAACTTTTTAAATACACTGCACTCCACTCCACTTCTCTTCCTACTTCTCTATTGCACTACAC